TAAACCAGTTTTCCTATGGAGTCTTTCAAGCTGACGCTTACAGGATTTCATTTTGTGCAGATCAGGAGTGCACCAGGGAGCAGAGTGTGTGAATGAGACAGTTTTAGTTTTGATGGGAGCCAGCTGATCGAGACAGGAGGTCTCGCTAGCTTGTGCCCAGAAGCCGGGTGTCTGTGGATGAAAAGATGACGTGTACCCCAGGAGTATCCACGGGATAATCCACAGCATAACCGTAGCCCAGAATGAATAAAAAGCAACCGAATTGGAGCTATAGAAATAAAATTGAACTGAACTTCACTGCTAGATGCCGCTAAAATCTACACACTGTTCCTTTAATGAAACATAACTAAGAATTTATCATCTGAAAATCTTTGCGGCTGTGGCTCAGAGGTAGAGTGGGTCGTCCACTAATCAGAAGGCTGTTGGTTCAATCCCTGGCTCCTCCCGCCACATGTCGAAGCATCCTTGAGCAAGATACTGAACCATGAATGTGTATCGATGCCTTAGCGCTTTGAGTGGTCGGAAGACTAGAAAGGTGCTATACAAGTACAGGTCCGTTTACCATTTACCATTGCCAGAGTGCAGTCGTTTCTCTCTCAGGCTCTTATTACCGCCAGGATTGGTTACTGTAATGCTCTACTTCCCGGTCTTCCCAAAAAGAATATAGCTCGATTACAATGACTTCGAAACTCAGCTGCATGTGTGTTGACGAGGACCAGAAAGAGAGCACACGTTACACCAATCCCAAAGTCTCTGCATCGGCTACCTGTGTGCCTTAGAATCGATTTTAAGATCCTTTTATTGGTTTATAAAGCTCTTAATGGTCTTAGTCCTACTATATTTATCAGATTTGGTTTTAGCCTATGAACCCTTTAGGACTTCAGGTAGTGGCCTTTTAATTATCCCTAAAGCCAGGACAAAGGCCCTCAGTGAGGCATCGTTTTAACACTACGGTCCTCGTCTCTGGAACAGCCTCCCTGAGGACCTGAGTGCAGCAGAGAGTGCTGACACTTTTAAAAGCAAACTCAAGACCTACCTTTGGGTAAGCTGAGGTAGGGGGGTCGGAGGGTGTTTTTAATGTGTGAAGCACTTTGTGTTACATTTTTCTTGTATAAAAGATGCTATACAAATAAAGTCTGATTGATTGATTTAGTGGGAGATGGGACGTAGCGTAGTCACTGATGACATTTAATCCATTGAGGGCCTTGGGCTTGTGGGAAATGATGTTTGTAACCATTAAAACTGAAAATGACCATCCTTGTGTAGAACAATGTATACAAATGTTTTGTAAGGTTGAGGGATTGTTAGACATTATGAATGTTATCTTACTCCAGAACAGAACCTGCGTCTCCAGAGCTGCGAGAGCCTTTTTACAGCCTCTCTCTCCATCAATCCAATCAGTCAGCTTTCAGATATACAGTCAGTCGTTCTGTCGGTCCTTCCAGCTCTCTGGTGGCACTCCGTGTTATTGGGATCGATGTGAACACTTCAGTTCCTGCACAGAGGGCCAAATACACCGATACCTCACATGGTCAGTCAATACATATCAGCATTCTAACACCTGGATACAAACAGCACATGTACAGTACTACACCACACAAATCAGTTTAAATACATATATGTGTGTATGTATATAGATCCAGATGATACAACCACCTTTGACAGGTTTATTATCTGCTACGAACCAATGTCCACCTTTTTATCTACTACAACTGACAATGACAGTTTTAACCTTTTATGACTTTTGCATAATACCATGACCTTAAGTTATACAGCACAAGCTTAAAGGGAAGGTTAGGAAAGAACAGAAACTTAACATGTTCTATTGAATTCCATTGAGTTTTTATGTTCTGTTCACTTTCACTTAACTTTTGACAGAAGTGGCATGAAGTATGTGTCTCAGCATTCCAGTCATTCCCCATTTATGCAATTTCAATATAGTTTAGAACCCCAGTGTGCAGAAATAATTAAAATAACAAGAAACTGCATGGGATTAGCATAAAGTGGGTATGACTGCAAAGGGGAGATGTATACCCATAGAGCTTCTTTTCATTCAGATATCTTGAGGTCAGAGGTCAAGGGATCCCTTTGAAAATGGCCGTGCCAGTTTTTCCATCACCACAATTTAGCCTCAGTTTGGAGCGATATTTAGCCCCCCTTCCCAGGATGCTAGCATGACATGATTGGTAACAATGGGTGTTCAACTCATCTACTCCTTTTACCACATTAAACATTCCACAATCTATGAATATGCAAATGTCCTACTGGACACAAGATGTCTCCTCCTTCACTGTAAAGTCCATTCTCAGTGTCCGTGCACTGGTGGATCTCACTGTATGAGTTGGATAATGGACCAGTAACAACTTCCAGAGTATTTGTCCCAAATAATGCATGTAGGCCCCACCCCCTGTTAAATCAGATGTTTAATGAGCACAGAGAAACTTTCCACTTTCAACACATGAATGTAAAAACATCCTTCTGTCAAACTCTGCACAGACACCATTCAAACATCACACTGCAGGAAGAAACACTGATTTCTGACTGGAGGGGGGCTTTAAAGCTACATTTGCTTTTGCTTTTGCAATGATTAAATAATATATACATAATCCTTCAGTTATTGTAAAAAAAAATGTATTGGTAAATCTTTTCATTAAAGTAAAAGATCCACATATAAAAGAGGTTAATATTAAAGGTCATTCCTGTTTCAGCTTATCATGATCAGACTAATTCTTATGCACCTCAGGTTTCTACTCTTAAAGCTCCAGGAAACACAAAGCGGACTTCTACAACTGTTCACTCCCTGGAAAGAAACAGATAACAGTTCCTCCTCGCTCACATCCATAATCCTTTGAATAACTTAGAAGGACATGATGATATCAAAGAGACTCAGTACATTTAAAACTGTGGATCTATATTTTTCCTTTTATGGAAACTTTACCCTGAGCTGTTTCTGTGAATATAACTTGCAATACTGCTGATACAGCTTTCGATGGATATACCTTGAGCCCAAACACATATTATTGAACAGATAAGGCATGTAAAAATAATCAATATATAAAAAACTTTTTTTTTTAAATTACATTTAAAATAGTCAAATCGATGTAATTCTATGAGCTGTGAAGTCTCACAGTGACTACATAATCTGCTGCTTTATCAGAAGGAAAGTGTATAAGCATATTTATTTAAGTATATTGCACATATTTTTCTTTATTGTGATACTTCTCTATACACTTGACGTATTAATATAGTGATGTTATATTTTATTTTAGTTCTATTTGTTTAATTCCTTATTTTAATCTTTCTTTCTTCCTTTTTATTTATCTTATTTTATTTTTATATGACTTTGTTATATCTTTATAATGTAAATATACAATTCAGCTAAAATACTGAATTATTGTGTGGCTTGATGTAACACATCAAACACTACAGCATACAACAAAAAAAGGGGAAATCTTTGCTAAACAAGAGTCCTAATCAAGTTTTGGTTGACTTTAATTTCAGTCTCACCAAGACAAACCTGATTATAAATTCAGACTGTATAAAACTGGATCTACACATGGAATCCCTGAGCAGACATTAGATTCAGACAGAGATAAATGGACTCGATCAGTCTGCTGTTCAGCAGCAGATCTATTCCCGTCTCCCACTGAGCTCTCCCCGTCATAAACCCAGCACACAGCGGGCTCGGGCACAGATGTTTTCTTGTTTGCGGTGGTAAAGGGCCTGTGGTGAGAGCTCTCGTCAATAGGTCTGGTCCTCTTCAAACACGGCCCATTGTCTGAACCCCGGCTAATACAAGAAAAAGGAGTCGTATTATCCCCCTGCGCCGCCTCCTGCTGTGTCAGTTTTACAAGCATCCGTATGCGAAACCCCTGTGATTCTCTCCATAGCGTCTGTCAGGCTAGCTGGCTAGCAGCTGGCTGTGGGACTGTGTCTGAATTCAAATCACTGATGTCCTGCCAAGGCTGCACAGCTCCTCAAAGTCAGCTAGCCTAAACCTGGCTACATGCTCGGATGGATATTGATAGAGGTGGTTGCTCACCGAGCAGCGCAGCAGGGACGTCTGCTCCGTGTTCAACATGTATGAGTGCAATTTTTTTTAATGTGAAAGATGCATGGTGTCTGATCAGATGTTCACTCAGACACACAGACGCATGCACTTTCATCTTCATGGTCATGGTCACATAATGATGCAGGACAATTTTCTTTAATTAATAGTTGATTTGGGCGTTATGTAATGTTGGATCGGGGGGGGGGGAACTGTTAGCCTCGCTCCATCAAAAATGTAAAAATGCCCAAGGACAATCTTCTGTTGTTAAAACTGGCTGGAAAAAAGTAAATAAAGTCTTTAGGGCAGCCCTTCATATTGGACATGCAAAAGTCATGCTTGTTAAAAAGGTTTCCGGTAAGGTGTGTCCTTGAGAAATGTTAGTGGCGTAGCTTTGTCTCCAGACGATCGGTAGGCAGGGAGATCACCAGGCCATTACGGACAGGAAAATTACAGCAGGGGGTCCAACAGAAGCCTTTTCTCTGCTACTGAAAATAATCCTAGAGGAACAGGCTGGAATATCTTAACATTTGGATGTAAAACATATACTACACGGTCAAAGGAACAGGTGCTTTTGTTTTGTGGCTCTTCTTTATGATTTGGGCTAGGTGTCAGGGTTATAATGAAGGGAGATCTCTACACTCACAAGTAGAGTTGTTCCGATACCAGT